GGCCTCCATTATTTTGTTTGGCCTGCCTGGTTATTGTTAATAGCAGCGTTGCTGTCTTTTTCTGTTGAAGCCTTATAGTTGTTTTCTTTGTTGAAGTGGTCACTATCTCTTTGGGTGACCTGTCTGATTTATCATTAAAGCGGCGTTGCTATCTCTTTTTGTTGTCACTGTTTGTATGAATATTGAGTTAATTGATTATAATAAAGATATATTTTGTGTTAACTACCTCTGCCTGGTGTTCTTTTCATTTCAACCCAGATCGAACTGTTACTGTCCCCCACCCTCTTCGCCTAGCTTTCATGTGGGGACGTAACAAACTGGGGGCTCGTCCGGGATTTGAATGAAAGGAATTGAGTTGATTACGAGTGTGAACGGGTGTTTGTGTTGTGAGGGTCATTTGACTAGCTGCTGCTCTCCCCGGCTAGCACAGGGGAGTGTCTAGCTGAGCGTTTGCTCTTCCTTCGGACACTCGTTTTTTGTTTTGCCTTTGTTATTTTCGGAGCAAACCCGGGTGGGGATTAATTCTCTGTTGGGGGTAGGCTTTTCGGTGCCTTTGGCACTTGATGATTTGCCTTTAAAGTGGCCTCGAGCCTGGTACGCTCCAGAAGCTGGGTCAGGCTAAATTCTGAGTAGGCAGGACTGGGGGGAGTGTGGGCAGAATTTTAGCTAATGGTTGACTTGACACAACACATTTTATTTCACCGGTTTTTGGTTGTGTAGTGAAGGTGTTGTGTGGCCCTTGAGTGGTTAGCTTGTGTTTTGCAGGCCGTTTTGAGTTTTCATGGCCACTTTTGATATTTCTGGGTTTACGGCAGAGCCGTCGCTTGCCCTGCTTGATGTTTGTAGGAAGAGGGATCTGCATGAGGTGGCAACATATTACGGGATCAGTGTCTCCACTGGTCTACGCAAAGTGGAGCTGAAGGCCGCTCTAGTGTCTGGGTTGTTGGAGAAGAGGGTGGTTGTAATGCAAGAACCCCCGAGCACACCCGGTCCGGCTGGACCAAGTGCACTGCCTCATGCTCCAGGCCAGGTTGTAGAACCGTCAGTGTCTACACCTGTGGCCCGGGGGCTGCCCGAGGGCGGGCCATTGACGCTGCCCCGTTTTGATCCACTCTCCACCCAGTCATCAGAGGATTCTATGCAGGATGCTAGGCTGAAAGTCCGTCTGGCTCGTCTCCAGCTGGAAAAGGAGCACCGTGAGAGAGAGAGTTCCAGCTGAAAAGGGAGATAGAGCTTAGGTGTTTGGATACAGAACTGGCTAGGGCTAGGGAGGTTGAGCTGAAGAAGGTGGAGGGGGAGACTAAGGTCAAGCTGCGACAGCTGGAACTCCAGCAGGTCTCCTCCCCTCCTGTGGCGGCCTCGCTGTCACAGACAGAGGTACAGTTTAATGTAGGAAGGAATAGTCGTCTGGTCCCTGTATTTCGTGACACTGAGGTGGAGATTTATTTCGAATCATTTGAGCGGATAGCGACAGCCTTGCGTTGGCCGCGGGATGCGTGGGCCATCCTGCTGCAGTGCAAGCTGGTGGGTAAGGCACAGGAAGTTTGTTCGTCGTTGTCCGCTGAGTGCAGTTTGGATTACGACAAACTGAAAAGTGCCATCCTGTTAGCCTACGGACTGGTCCCCGAGGCTTATAGGCAGCGGTTTCGGGGGTTGAAAAAGGTGCAGAGTCAATCCTTCCTGGACTTCGTGAGGTAAAAGAGTGCCCTCTTTGACCGATGGTGTATGGCCTGTAAAGCTGCAGACCTAGTTTCGGTACGGGAGTTAATTCTCATTGAGGAATTTAAAAACTGCATCTCCGAGCGGATGGCAGTGTATCTGAATGAACAGAAGGTTTCCTCATTACAGCAGGCTGCAACACTGGCTGATGAGTTTGCCCTCATCCATAAAACCAGTGTCATTAAGCATGACCGACGCGACGCCTCAGTGAAGGTTAGTGATGTGCCAGCTGCACAGTACCCAAAGAGTGAGGTATTTGTGTCCCATCCCAAGGCAAAACGAAAGTATTTTTTCTGTTTCAAGTCTGGCCATTTAGTTGCAAATTGTAAGACCTACAAACAGAAACAGTCAGTCTCGAGGGCTAGGAGTGTGCCTGCTAACAATGCTAATAGAGGCATGGTTTCAAGATCCAGAATACAGCTCTGTTTCTTTTGCCACAAACCTGGCCATCGATCTGCTTTCAAAAGAGTGAACTGTGGTTCACAA